TCCTCCCCTCCCCTCCTCCCGGCTCTCCCCCACCCCATGAATCCCTGGATAATAAAGCCATTGATTTAAAGGGCCACAGGCAAAGGCGGTGGGGATGAGACCGGCTGCGAGCTACCCGGCCCGGCTAGAGCGGCAGGCAGCTTTCCCTGGCTCGGCTAGCTCCGGGATACCCCCGAGGGGTGGGGGGGTCCTAGAGTGCGCAGTCTCCATGCTCGTGGGCGCGCGTGTGTGAGCGCCTGGTGCAAGTGTGGGGCTGCCCGCGTGCGCGCGTGTGCACGGGTGTGAGCGACCGCGCGCATTCGTGGGCGCGGTGGAGCACTGAGCAGAAACTCTTAGGGCAGAAAATCCAGGCGGCTCCGAGCTCTGGAGGAGCATCTGGGCGTAGGGTGGGGTTCTGTGCAGAGAAAGGGCTGGAGCCCCTGCGTTCGGGGCGGCGTGGGCGGGTCCGCATCTCCCTGCCTTCTCTTCGGCTCCCTACCGCCCTGGAGGAAGCAGACAGGAATACAAAATTTGTATGAGTTAGGAAGTCAGCCTGCTGCCTTCTGCATGCGCGGGCTGGTGTCTGAGCTGGTGTCACTTAGGGTGGCCCTTCCGGCCTGGTGCTGTTGCACATCTCCATTCCAGGCTCTCGTTGTCCCTTTCCTGGGTCTGGCTCATGGTATCTGCAGCACCTCTCTGATGTTCTCTGAGGTGAGCAATAATCCTTCGCTTGGTGCGAAAAGGAAAGGGGTTTGTTTATCCTGCCTTGGAATAGAGGTCGTTGCTGAGCACCCAGAGCTTTGAGCGGGCAGCCTGGCTTTGCCCCTCTGCCGCTCGGCCCTCTCTGCAGTGAGGTTGATGACTGAGTAAGGCTGCGCTGTGCCCTACCAACAGGGAAACTCTGTCCTCCTGAGGCATATTATCTGTCGTGCTGCTCGTCCATTATATGCTGGTGGATCTATGGTTTCACATTCTGATGAGGAAGTACTTGGTTCTTTAATTTCCTAGTCCCAGAAGAGGCCTTGGCAATGTAGTATTGAGGTCCATGGGCTTTGGATTCAGTGTAGGGTCTGTGGTATTCTTTCTTCCCAAGCAGTTGATGTATCAGAGTTCATGAGAGTAACCGATTGAACATACAGGCTAATGCATACAGAGGTTTACAGGTTAGTGGGCACCTGCAGTTGGGCGTGGAAGAGCTGGACAATCCAGTCAGAGGTGGAAGACCCAGAGCTCGCTGCAGAGCTGTTGGAGTCTGTACTGAGAAGTGGAAGGGTCTACACTGGAAGGCTGACGAGTCTGTTGGAACAGTGGAGTACACTGGAAGCCTGGCGATGGATGTCCAAAGATGCTGGTGAAGACCGGAGCTCCTCTGCAGAAGCAGCAATAGACTTCCTTCTTCCTTCCCCTGTATTCCATCCAGGCTCCAAGCCTCCTAGTGGTTAGAGGCACTCACACCAGGGCGGGCTTTCCCGTCCAGTGAGTCCATTCTCCAGTCACCCCCAGAGGCGTGCTAAGCCAATCAGCTGGGGTTCCTTCTCCACTTGCTACAACAGTTCACTGCCACAGTTGACTTCCCAACAGAAGTAGAGTGGCCCTGGGAAGTACTGTCTTCAGTAATGGGACCATGGGTGAGGGGACAGTGCTCAGCCTACACCTGAAAAACAAGGAAGAGGGGTGTTCTAGTTCTGACTGGTGCTTGGCAATTGAGGGTAAGCTCCCTTATGTGCCCACATCTCCCAGAGAACACCGATGATGCTTGAGGCCAGGTGGCACAATTGGGAAGCTACTGAGGTAGCTCTGGAAGGGGCCAAGTGTGTCTGTTCTTCTCTGAAAATTGCTGAGGAAGTGTGAGAAAGCAATAGAGAATTTATGCATTAATTAGTGTGCAGGCCACCTCCTCTCTTCCCTTTTATCAGCTCCTCTTACCTTCTTTCATGGAGCAGGACATGAATTCACAATTAAAGTTTTCTCTTTTGAATATGACACTTACAGGAAATTATTTTTTCTCCTATTTATAGCAGTTCTATTTGCATTTATGAAGCTGGTAATGTCTCATAAATATTTCCTGCCAGATAAAATATTAATTAAAAGAGTTTATTGAGTTATATTTTAAAATCCTAACTAAATCTCTTCTAAGACAAATATTTTAAGTACTTTTTTCTCATGTCAGAAGAATTTCTTGGTGGTGTGTGCCTGTAACCCCAGTACTTGGGAGGCTGAAAAGAGGACCACTATGAGTCCACTCGATGTAGTGAGACCCTGTGGGCCCTGCAGACCCTGTGGGCCCTGTAGACCCTGAAGACCCTGTAGGCCCTGCAGACCCTGCAGACCCTATAAACCCTGTGGGTCCTGCAGACCCTGTAGACCCTGCAGACCCTGTGGGCCCTGCAGACCCTGAAGAACCTGCGGACCCTGGAGACCCTGTAGACCCTGCAGACCCTGCAGACCCTGTAGACCCTGCAGACCCTGTAGACCCTGTAGACCCTGCAGACCCTGTAGATCCTGCAGACCCTGCAGACCCTGCAGACCCTGTAGACTCTGCAGACCCTGTAGACCCTGCGGGCCCTGCAGACCCTTAGACTCTGCAGACCCTGTAGACCCTGTAGACCCTGCAGACCCTGCAGACCCTGTAGACTCTGCAGACCCT